TGAATTCTGGAGAGGTTTGTTTTCTGGTTATTGAATATGCCAAATACAGGTCGTCCTCGACTTACAACCACAATTGAGCCCAAAATTTCTGTTGTTAAGTGAGACATTTGTTAAGTGATTTTTGACCCCATTTTACAACTTTTCTTGCCATGGTTATTAAGTTAATAAGCTAGTAACCTGGTTGTAAAGTGAATCTGGTTTCCCCATTGACTATTTATCGGGGGGTCGCAAAAGGTGACCACATGATCCTGGGACACAGCAAAGGTCATAAATATGAACCAGCTGTCTAATATCTGAATTTTGATCACATGCTCCTGAGGATGCTGCAAAGGTCATAGCTATGAAAAACGGCATAAGTCACATTTTTCAGTACTGTTGTAATTTTAAACAATCTTTAAATGAACTGTTGTAAGTCAAGGACTACCTGTAATCCTTTTTTGACAGCCACACCACAGTTAAACAATTTTGGATAGTTGCACAGATCTAACATCCCCTCTTATAACACAGTCCCGAAAGCCTCCAACTTACTTTCTATAAACCTTCAACATCTTGTGAAGCCCTCATTGTGTGTATAGAATAGAATAGAATAGAATAGAATAGAATAGAATAGAATAGAATAGAATAGAATAGAACTCTTTATTGGCCAAGTGTGATTGGACACACAAGGGATTTGTCTTTGGTGCATATGCTGTCATGTACATAAAAAATTAAATATATTCATCAAGAATCATAAGACACAACATAGTCATAGGTTACTAATAAGCAATCAAATCATACTAGGAAACAATTAAAACAATATAAATTGTAAAGAAACAAGCAACATGGTTATAATCATAAGTGGGAGGAGATAGGTAATAGGGAGGTTGAGAAAAATAATAGTAATAGAGTCTTACTAAGTAATTTGACAGTGTTGTGGGAATTAGTTGTTTAGCAGAATGATGGCACTCAGGAAAAAACTGTCCTTGTGTCTAGTTGTTCTGGTGTGCAGTGCTCTATAGTGTCGTTTTGAGGGTAAAAGATGAAACAATTTATGTCCAGGATGTGAGGGGTCTGTAGATATTTACATTGAAGCTTTTTTGTTCACTACGGAAACCAGAACTTAACAGTTGAAAGTTTCTGATCAGACCAAAATCTGTATTGATCAGAGTCATCACCTTAAATAATGTTATAGGATGGGAAAATCTTGATTATCTGGCAATTATGTGAAGTATCAGCCAACGATATTACAAATATTTGTCTATTGAGATTCTTGGATCATATTCAACATCAAGAGGCATAAATGAAATGAATGCATTTTGCAATACTGTGTAGTTTTGATTCACCTTGACATTTAAATCACCAGTGATAAAATAAGCCAGAGAATATAGGGCTAAGCAAAGGTTCAGATATTGTCCAAGTTCGCCTGTTTGAGTTGTGCATGGGCAGATCTGAAACTCAAAAAGAAGGGAAAAGATGACCCAGGTAATTAAAGGGCTGTTTCAGGTCAAAACCAAACAAACTCTAGAACAGATTATGGTTTCTTTATTTTTTATTATTCTCCGCAATTCACTATGAATTTCATACTCAAAAGATCATCTGCTATTGATATTGACTGTTTCCTAGTAGATATGATTGCTTATTTGTACCCTATGACCAGGGGTGGGATTCTTCCAGTTCGCACCTATTCGCTAGAACCGGTTGTTAACATTCTAAGCAGTCTGGAGAACTAGTTGTTAGAAGAAATTACCAATCTAATCCTGTAAGGAAGGCAGGAAGAAAACATTCTGGTGTTGCTTACAGAAACTGCCTCTCCGTTAACCCTTATTACATTCTTGGCAGGACTAGACTTCCTGTCTCTGGAACGTCTCTGGAGTTTTCTTTCCTCTCCTTTGCTGGTACTTTGCTTGTGTGGAGTGACCATTCAAAGTTACAATGGCACTGAAAAAAGTGACTTATGACCATTTTTCACACTTAGGACTGTTGCAGCATCCCCACAGTCATGAGAGGCCAGGTGAGGAGATGCATGCCTCGATGTGAGTGATATTGAGTTGGCCACGCCCAGCCAATAACATGGCCACCAAGCCACGTCCACCCAGTCACATGACCACCAAGCCGTGCCACCAACTAAGCCATGCGCACAGAACCAGTTGTTAAAAAATTTGAATCCCACCCCTGCCTATGACTTATGGTTATATCTTATGTGTTATACCTTATGGTTCTTGACGAATGTATTTTTTCTTTTTATGTACACTGAGAGCACATGCACCAAGACAAATTCCTTGTGTGTTCAATCACACTTGGCCAATAAAGAATTCATTCATTCATTCTAAACAGTCAGGATTGGGTCTAGTAGAGAAGATGGTAAAATGTGAACTGGACTATACTGTATCAAATACGGTAGATACAGGGCTGGCTTAAGAATTGTACTCAATGAATGTATGTCAGTGACTTCCTGTCAAGCAGAATGGAGGTGTTGGAGGTAAATTGCAGCCCCCATTCCAAGCCCTGTAAAGTTCAATTCGTTTATAAACGACTTGGAAGAGAGGTTAGAAAAATAAATATCTTCACATTGAGGATGACAGAAAGATTGTGTGAATAGCATTCCTATCTGTGACTCACGAGTACTCCCTCTACTGAGTCAATGATAACTATTGTCACTAAATGTATTCTAAAGTTTACTACTAAAGCTAAAATGACAAAAGGCTTCATAACACTTGGCTTCATAATTAAAGGTTGTGGTTTAAAACCTGGGGGAGTTTTTTAATTACTATTTTTCTTTCCCTGGGCTACAAATTTGAGATTTTTTTCCCTCAGTTCGGCAATTTATGTTTTCTCACTTCTCCTGTCAGCTTTGCCATCTTCACTAAGCCGGCTGGCATCTTGCCATAAATGGAGTGAGGGGGGCAAAGCAGTTTGGGGGGAAATGTGCAGAAGGGAAGAAGGAGGAGGGAGGGGAGGAGGGAATGGCATTGATAGGAATCAGAAGTGTAAAACTGGATTGATTCAGCCACTCAAGGATGCTTGGCCTGAGAAAGAATGTGAAGATGTTTAAGACACGCCTGACATCAAAGCAGTTCCCAAAACATCATCTGGGATGCTTTTGGACACGAATGATCTGGTCAAAGGAGGAACACCATGGAAGGGGAAAATCTGTAACTTGTATGCAGAAATATTCCGTTCTCACCTTACTTTTGTTGCAACCGCTAATCCTTAGTAAAAGAACCTATCATTTCAATCCAATGGAGTCAAGAGTCTTTCTTTCCTAGGGACCTAGCTGAGGTAGGCCTGCCATCTCCTATTCTTCAGTTTCTTACATTAATGATATGGTGAAATGGTTAAATAAACCAAATCATCCCACACATAGCCCCCAAAACAGGGGATCAAAGCATTACCATGTTGCTCTCATCCAATATTGTAATAATGACAAACTGGTCATAAGCTACCAGTCACTTGACGTAAAAGTGATTCCCTCTGCATTTCTGTCCTCACCCAATATCTTAAAATATAAAGTTTAAGTTTGAAAATATATAACAAAATGTGATTATATCAATAAACCATTATATTATATGGCAGGTATGACTTTGGTATTATGCAGTACTATAAAACATGCAAGTGCTCATTTTGATAATCAAAAAGAACCAAACTAGACATTGATCAAAATGCAGTTGTCAAAAGCAAGATTTTAAAACCATGCAGGAGTTTTGAAGTCGGCTTATCTGCCTTATTTTAAAACTTCCACACAATAGACAGTGGTACATAAAATCAATAAGCTATCATTAAGCTATCTCCAACTGATCATTTTTTAACCTATAAACAATTACCCCCAATCTTCATGCTGGTGTCATTTCTATCCCAGGTCATATCTTAAGCAAATATCTACCCTATTATGTTCTATATTTCAAAGCACCAATCAGCCATAAAACACAGTGGAGAATAAGAGTCCAGACAATTTCTAATTATCTTGACAGCAAGGGCTGGAAACCACAATGTTCACTCATCTGGACAGACTATATATGGAGAAATCTAAAGCTGTATTTAAGGCAATATACATTTTGCAAGATTTAAAAATCTCCTTTGAGCGTTCGCCAGAATCAATTTTCAATATGATCATTTCCCTGGTTGTCTCATAATATGAACATTGTATATTATTAACTGGTGTATATCTCTGTTTACACTTAGAAATTACATTCTCTATGCTGGTAACCATTATAAATCCAATCATAAAACAAGATTACATATGCAAAAGAATGCTACTTGAATGCTACTTGAATGTGAAACTGTAGAATGAAAATCCCTTGTCTATTCAGTATAAAGTAAGCTGCAGGAACAGGTTTTTCAGGATTTGGGTGGAGATGAAGATTCAGTCTTGAAAGAATTAAAATAGTAAGTAGCTATGGGATGAGATCGTTTCTCTGTACAATTTTGATATGTGTGAGTTTTCCATTAACACCTTAATTGTTCTTTTTTTTAAAATGACCTTTTTTACAACCTCAAACTTAATTCTTTATTATATTGGGGAAAAATTACTTAACAGCATATTATTAAACAGCATATTATGGTCTTGCAAACTAAAGCAGGATAAATAAGGAATACTTCCTTTAAATAATTCTCTCGTCTCTAAACTCTTACTTTTTCAATATCTAATACTTTGCCTGTGAAAGACAGATAGCGGCATAGTTTTACTATTATGCCGTAGATGTAGTTTTACTATTATGCCTTGTGTACAAATTTACTCCCATGGTTAGCTGTTACCGGTGAGATTTTAAGATTTTAAAAAACCATCTTCTAAGCAATTCTTTTGCTCAGCAGAAACAAAGTACAAAGGATCACAGTGCAAAACATCTTAGGTTTCCAGAGGTTCTGAAGGCATTGTATTTGGGCATCCTGTCTGAGTTTCCGAGGTGGTAAATCAAATCCAAATAGAGAGAAGGAACGTTCATGAATTGTCCTGCTCTTCTAAATGTCATAAACTGAACACTTTGGGGGAAAAATCTCATGCCGATCAATAAATATCTGCTTACCTCTTTATGCAACCAGTGTCCAAATCCAGATTCCCCAGAAATACTGTTGTGCAGTTCAGCTTACAAACAAGTAGTATTGTCTGCACCCGGCTGTCTTCACAGCTTTGTGGCTTCTCCAGTAGAGATGAGTCACACTGGGAGGAGAGCGAAGGTGTGGAAAAGGGAGGGCACCTTTTTTATAGTTTAAATACAGTATAGTAACTTACAATTGTTTATTGTTGTTTTACACTGATACTTGCCTCATTTCCAAAACGGGATGTGCGTATTGGTGTGGTGGCATTCTACCATAAGATGAAAGAGTGTATATCTATATATAATATAAAATGTATGTGCGTGCATATTTCAACAACATTTAGGCTTTATTTGGGGAAATTACATATAATACAAATATTGGATATAAATCTAATATTGCCTATTGGCTCTAATAGTTAAATTGCTGCCAAAATAAATCCCCCCCACCCAAAAAAAAAACAGAATATGGAAAAGCCTGTTTATTTTTATATAAACAAAATAATTTAGGAATTATACCAATGAATGATCTATTGATTAATATGGTGCATCCCTAATCCCTAAAAAGAAAAAAAAAGAATAGATTAGACAACCATTTAACCAGGGTGGTATAAGGTTCCTGCCTTGAATTGGGGGTGGACTAGAAGACCTCCAAGGCCCTTTCCAGCCCTATGACTCTATGTTTTCCACATACAGTGCTCTTTTTTATATATATAATAATTTTATTCTAGAAAAAAACATTTATTTGACATACATTTAAAACATGGTCATTCTTACTTGGCGCTGCCGTCCCGCCACTGGTCCGCCAGCATTCTGACCCCATCCCTTCATCCCAGGCGTATCACAGAGGAATACTTTTCCATGACCAGTTGGCTGTGTGGGACATTTAAACGTGCATCGGGGCAGCCAATCCCTATGCTGAGGAAGGGGCAACCTTGGGCACAAGGAGACAGGGGACACAGTGGTTACTTTGTTGTGCACACATGAGGAAGAAAAAGCAGCCCTTCGGGGTGGTGGTCAGGGGCAGGGCCTTCCCCTTCCCACCCACTCAGGAAGCTGTCTTTCCTGCTGGCATAATGACAAATATAATAATAAACCAATCTGGCAACGTTCAAGATAAAGGATAAGAGAACAATTAGTAAGTGAAGGATTTATCTGTGAATGGTTTAATTATTATAAAATTTTTGAGAGATTTAAACTTGATTTTTAAAAAGTGTTGTTTTTGCAGAAGTTGATTGATTGATTGATTGAATGAATGAATGGGATGTCAGCTTATGTTCTGGAGATGATCACTTGATTGCTTAGACCAGGGGTGTCAGTCAAACTCAATTTCATTGAGGGATGCATCAAGGTTGTGCTTGACCTCAGAAGGCCAGGATGAGTGTGGCCAGCTTGACATCACTTGTGCCGGGAGGACCTGTGGTGGCCAAATGCTAAGGCAGGACTTCCCTGAGATCCCCCCCCCCCATTATAATCTCCTTCCTTCTCTTCTTTTTCCTTCCTTCTTCATTTTCCTTCGTTCCTTCCCCGTTTATTTTTCCTTCCTTGCTCCCTTCCCGTCTTTCCTTCTTTTTCTTTGCCTTTCCTCTTCCCCTTTCTCCTTTCCTGGCCCTTCTTACAACCTCAAATGCAAAAGGGGAAAAATTTCTCCTTTTCTTTTGCTTTTAGTTTGTTTTGATAGCCTTCTGCCAGCGAAAACGGAGCCCGGGAGGGCCACAAGCGCTCCCTGCGCCCTGTTTTCAGCTGCGATGGCCTCCTGCAGCCCTCTGCCAGCAAAAGCGGATATTGGGGAGGCCGTATGCGCCACCCCCCCGTGCTCCATTTTCACTGGCAGAGATACCATGGGCCAGTCGTTTGCTGTTTCCAGGCTGGCCTCGTGAGCCAGATCTAACATCCCATGGTCCAGATCTGGCCCATGGGCCTTGAGTTTGACAACCCCTGGCTTAGTCTATGTAAAATGTTACTCAAGATGAATCTGGAAAACAAATATGTCAAAGATGGCATGATAAAATGGGTAAATTTTTTTTTTTAAAAAAATATAGTTTATTAGTTTTTACAATTAAATGTAGTAATATATGTAATGTAGTAATATATGTAGTAATATATGTAAAGAACAGGTGTGTGTATATGACATAAATCCAGGTTATGAAAAAAGATCTTGCAAACTGTAAAAATAAGAATGCTTTTAACTTTTCCTTTTTTCTCTTTTTTCTCTAAATTTTCCTTTCTTTTCTTTTCTTTCTTCTTTTCTCCTCTTTTGTTTAATTGTGTATGTATTGTTGGTTGGTTTTAATTGTAAAATGGGTAAAAAAAAATTTAGATACAACATAATGCTAGATAAATGGGAGAATGTATGGACTAATGGATTAAAATTCCCATTGAATTATAACGTGAAAGATTTTTTTCTTTTTACAAAATGATGTATCACTGGTATTTGACCCTTGATAGACGAGCAAAAATGTACAGGTAGTCCTCGACTTACCATCACAACTGAGCCCGCCATTTTTGTTGCTAAGTGAGACATTTGTTAAGTGAATTTTGCCCCATTTTACGACCTTCCTTGCTACAGTTGTTAAGTGAATCTGGCTTTCCCATTGACTGTGCATGTCAGAAGGTTGCAAAAGGTGCTCAATCACATGACTCCATGACACTGCAACAATCATAAACGTGAGTCAGTTACCCAGCATCTGAATTTTGATCACTTGACAATGAGGATGCTGAAATGATCATAAGCACAGGTGGCATTCAGCAGGTTCTGATGAGTTCTGGAGAACCGGTAGTGGAAATTTTGAGTAGTTCGGAGAACCAGTAAATACCACCTCTGACTGGAGATTTTACACAGTATCCTTCCCCTGCCACGCCCACCAAGCCACGCCCATGGAACCAGTAGTAAAAAAAAAATTGAATCCCATCACTGGTCATAAGGGTGAAAAATTGTCATCAGTTATTTTTTCAGTGCCATTGTAACTTTGAGCAGTCACTAAATGAACTGTTATAAGTCAAGGACTACCTGTATAGAGGGACTTCTAAGAAAAGTTGGAAATGCAACCAAAATCCAGGAACGTTCTATCATATGTGGTAGTCTTATAAAATCACATTAGGAAAACACAATAATGATAATGCGAAGAATACTTAAGAATTTTTAAATATTTATTTTTAGTTTATTTTTCAATAGCTTATAAGTTAATAAATTTAAGTATAAATACAGGAAATGGGTATGAATAATTGGGGACAATAGGACAGGGATGGTAGGCACGATTGTGCCCTTACAGATCTCTTAGGAATAAAAAAAAAAATTAATTTGGGATGCTATTCCTTCACACGGTGACCACTGCAAGGATTGTACTTGCCAAGCACTGGAAAGGAAAAAATTCAGCATGCACCTTAAGAAACAGGAAACAGGAAAAAGAACACGATCAAATTAGCAAACTCATAGTTTGGATGCCAAAAGATCTTTCAGTGACTGTAGAAAAGGCTTTTGGCAATTCATTTCTTTCCCACAAATTTCAAGAAAATTCATGAGTAGATAAACATGAGCTGAATGCATGTAACGCGTCAGCTGTCAACTTCTGTGTCAAAACATTAAGGCAACTAACAATTTCAAATGCTATGGTGAGTGGCAGCAAGAATCTTTGAATCATCCCTTTTAAAAAGTATATTGAATGTACCTCAGGCATGTGGAAAGCAGCAAGATATCTGTCATCTTGCTTGTGCCTGCCATTTTGATGCTATTGAGCCCTCAGGGGATGTTTCTATCCCCTTTGAGGATCCTTGTGATGGACACGTGGCAAACAATCTTCTCCCATGATATTCCCAAACTGAGATGCCCATCCTTCAGAACTTGGATGGTTCTCTGCTTTAGCAAAGGTAGAAAGATAAAACTTTTTATTTATCTTCATGTTATAAATTACTTTAAAGATACCTTTAAATTAAACATGATTTTTAGTGGCTACTACCCAATGGTGGGATTCAAAAAAATTAACTACCAGTTCTGTGGGCGTGGCTTAGTGGGTGTGGCTTGGTGGGTGTGGCAGGGGAAGGATACTGCAAAATCCCCATTCCCAACCCACTCCACTAACCTGCTTTCCAGTTCTGTTCTCCTGTGCAGGGCAACAAAAGACCCAGATGATCAGCTGGGGCAGAGAATAGATGGGGCCGGGGCCAGTCAGAGGTGGGATTTGCCGGTTCTCCGAACTACTTAAAATTTCCACTACCGGTTCTCCAGAACTGGTCAGAACCTGCTGAATATCACCTCTGCTACTACCATAAAATGTACTTTTAGGGCTAGCAATATGGAAGTGGTTTGCTCATGCCTCCTACGGCCTATAGATGTTTCCCTCAGAACCATCTAGGACAATCCTTGACGGAATCAGCTGCATTGGTTGGTTGCTGTCATCTGCTGTAAGCAAGCTATTGTTAGTAATTTGCTGTTCTTGTAATACTGTGACATAATTGCATTTTTAATAATGCAGTGGTTACTTTTTAATTCAAAACTTGTTATAACCCATCTGAGTAGCTTCTTATTAGAAAAGCAATATAAATGTGGCCAAATGAATAATTGTCTGTAAATAAATATTTATTGAAATTTGAATCCTAGTGCAGAATGTAGATTAAATTACATTTAAATTGTTATGGCATTTACTATATCAGTGAATAAATCAATGGTTGATAATTTAATACATCCTTGCTATCTGATGCATTCCACAGTATCCAGTAGTCCTTTGTAGCAGTGCCCAAAGGTCTTTTTTTCCTGATCCAACATATTTTGAGGAAAGTGGTTAGGAAAGACATTCACAGAATGTTTTGTACAGATTATGGTTAATAATAACTAATGTCAATCTGGATCAGTGTCACACTGATTCATTATTTGGCTTGGTAGCATTACACTGGTGTGGAGAGTTAGAAAGATGATCTTGACGAAATATGCAAGAGCTATTACCTCAGCAAGACCACCTGAAGAAAAAACAAGAATATATGGCTGTATTTTGTGTACTTTTGTACCTTCGGCAACCAGTTTAAATTAAAATTTCAGCTCTGCCCTGGTCATTTTTTACTCACTGAAAAAACTGTTGTCTTTGTCAACAGGAACCAGAGATGGTTAAGCCAGAAAGATATTATTATT